AACTTCCCAAACACACCACGTTCAACGGGCAACCTCAGTTACGTAGACGTAGACACTAAAATCATACCCATCTCTCGCAAAGCAAATAGCGGCCGGCGAAATGCTAGTAACACGTGCACTGTGATCATAGAGTGATTCCACATGGTTGTAGAAGTGGTGGTAAATGTCATAACTTAAAGTGGACATAATTTTGTCAGATATAGCTACACTTGACATGTGACCGCCCCCCTCCCCCATTGACCTTCAAAGTTTCTCCCCTAGGTTACTTTTCACTGCATGTATCGACAATATACCTTTCTCTGTGGCGTTCATGAATCCCCAGGTATTGATAACCAGGGGAACGAAGGTTTTCTGGGCCCCAGTCTCCCCGAAACAAGCAGCAAGACATGTCACGAGCAACAAAACACACTTTCGCGCCGCCATTTTGAATCATATGACGAATCACGTGATCCCGAATGGAACTGTACGAGAACGCTATTTTACTCCCTTTTGTGGTTTCTTTAACTCCAAATTCCAGATATCATAACTCAGATATCAGTTAGGTAGCAATGTAAAGCAGTTATCATGTCAAAATAAAAACTCTGGAAAGGGGCAAATCGGTTTGTTTAGGTACAATACTGTATGTTTCACGAAAGCTATCATGTCCTCCCATGTGGTCTAGTGGTTAGGATTTGTGGCTTTCACCCACACGGCCCGGGTTCGATTCCCGGCATGGGAAACTGAAGTTTTTGTCATTTTTTTTAAATCTTATCTACAACATTTTCTTCTGCTACTTGCCGAATGTGCACTTTTGGGATTTCTGTCACAACAGTTTTTTTTTTCAAATTCATGAACCATTTTTCTCTTCCGATTTAACGTTATATGGGCACCTCCGCATATGCTACAATATGTTGTATATAGGTAATGGTTATAAACAAAACAAATCTTACCATGTTACGTTTTCATTATCTGCATCTGTATCTCTGTATAGCCGGTATAACCGCCTTTCAGCGTAACACATCAGCTTCGCAGGCACGCGGCGCGGCGGCAGCTGACTATATTACACCGATCGACTTGTTACACCTACTACTACCTTGAACTTCTAACTCTAGACATTGTTGTCATTGTTAACTTGCCCATTGAATTCATTTGAGTTTGTTTAAACTGGACTTCACAAATTAGATTTACTCTACAAAAGGGTGCACAACTTCTTTCTAATGACAAGCTAACATGATCCTGGGCAGCCATGTCGCTTTACGTATACGCATGGTCTCTTCCAATAGACCGAGGGTCCTAGGCTCTGTCGTTATGTAAGAAACTGTTGGGTTACTGTAAGACGTTTTCTGGTCAGTACGGTGCACGGGTTCCCCTCCTGATCCTAGCCGGGTCAGTACAAAGTGAGTACTCAGGACAGGTTGAGATGGTGATCATCTGTTCCATATTTTATAATCTCCAAGCAGATCCCTTTCGGTGAAGACAGAGGAGTTTGCATGCACGGCCCCACTCCGTGCAAATTAAACTCCTCTGGCTAATGGATTCTGTCTTGCCACCGAAAGGGATCTTCTTGGAGATTATTCCATTAGACATTACCGGCATAATGATTTAAATCCCTAAGAACAACAACGCAGGTAGGTACAAATGTAGCTTACTGGTTCGTTTCTATTTTTCACCTAGTCGCATCTGAAAGAAGCATAGAACGAGTGATGTAATGTAGAAAGATACCGAGGCTATACTTCTACAGGTACTTGGGGATCATGGTCACCTAACGTAGCAATGTTTGTATTTGTTACTACTGTATCTTCACGCATACAGCCCATCCAAAGCTTAGGCACTCTGATATTCGGCCTTCGTTGCCGGTCTTTTTCAAACAGGTGGCTCTGAAATACTCTCCAAGCAGATGTAGGTGGGAAAGATTGTGACCTTTCTCTCATATGCCCTGTTTTATGTCGCTACTCTGTTGGTGTACCAGTAGCGACAGAAAATGGGTCATATAATAGAATGGTAACAATCTTCCCCACCAACCTCTGCTTGGAGAGTAGCTCTGAAAAAAACGACTACAAGCAAAGACCTATTTACATAATTCAGACTAGCTGTGAGGGACCGTGTGTCCGCCCCCTGTGCCTGTGGGAATGGTATCACCGTGTTGTGGGTCAGCTGTAACAATAGACGACTACAAGATTACCTGGACCACGAAGCACACCGTTTAGGTCAGAATTTGTGCTTGTTCGCGTGTGTTTTCCCTTCTTCGAAGTTAACGCATAGACGCATAAACGAACATGGACGTCAGCTTGGAAGAGACATCGATGTGGTGCTTCTAACTGTCTTGTAATGATTGACGTTCTCCGTTATGTTTGACGCAGGCTGAGCGGGTTAAGAAGCGTAACACTTACACTACACAGGTAAGGTTACAAGGGTGGTCCGTTGTATCAGCATTGCTATTACTGTTGCTAAGTCCATGTCAGAACTAGGAGGGACTCTGAAAAATGTATACTTTATACTATATTTAAAGGAGCAGAGGTAAGTCAGTAGCCTCTACGGGGCTTCAGAAGCGGCTAGAAAAAGAGTAGAAATTGGCCACATAGACTGACAACATGCCAGCCCGGGGAGTTGGTCCGATCAGAACGGCAAACTGTATTCCTTTAGTGGACCAACTCCCCTATACACGATCTCTCCTTTTCCCAGCCGGCTCTAGAGGCCAGTACTTCACTACCTACGCCACCTGTACCACCAGAAGGCGTAACGTATTTTTGATCGGCATACCGTTTGTTTACCAACACGGTTTCAAAATGTATGGCGTCTTTTGTCAGAGTGTTTTCTTGGATCATAGACTTTCAATGCATAGTACTGACACGCTTTGATGGTCTTGTTTTTTTACGTTTATCAGTCGTTCGTTAAGTGTGTGTCTTCCTAGCGTTAACGATGCCGAATGGCTTGTAAGGCCAAATTAGGCAGCTTGGAACACGTGCTAAACTACGTTCAGCGGAAAGACGTACAAGACCAAAACGCTATGACACGGAGGGTAGCAACAGACACGCCTTTTCTACCTCACTAGGGCAACATGACCTACTACCGCTAATCATACGTTACTATTAGTCTACTAGGGAAACATGAAGTCTGCAGCGACGGTCAGTGTGCCACTCTTGGTGATCTGTTTCTTCGCGGGGATGTGGACTACAGGAGTGTACTACAATTATTACACAGGTACTGACCATGATTCCTAGATCCTGGGATCCCATGCACAAAATCTACTTTATAAAAGAGGTAGTCGTTGTCAGAAAAAAATGTGGTGTCAGGGGGGTACTTCCGGACTCAACCATGTCATCTATGTGTATAAAACGCCGCATAATACTAGTTCTGTTAGTTTATTGGTGACGTTGAACGGAAGAGTGGTTGATGTCACTCGAATCGTCGTAATTCATCCAATAGTAGAGTTTGAATTGTCCATGCATGAGTATTGTTTACCTAGATGTCTAACATTCACCAACGGATTCAATAGTACAAATGGTTTTCTAATTCTTACAGAAGCGGTGAACGAAGGAATCCCTGCGCCACAGATGAAATGGAGCCACAGTCAGGTCCGGATCACACCCCAGGAGGGACTGGACGTCTGGGCGAGACGTAACCATAGTTACAGTGACGTCACGAAAGTCCTCTACAACAGGCTGCCGAAGTGCGGGAGTAACACCATGAAAGTCCTCATCAGAGAGCTGCAGACTAGAAACCGGTTTCAGTTCTTTGAAGACAAGGATTACGGAATAAAAGCTCTCCCTAAAAAGCTTTTGGTGAGTTGAGTTTTCCAAGCACTTTTTTTGCTCTGGACGAGATTATATGGACCAGGTAGACACATTCATTCTAATCCTACGATATTAGAAAACCAGTATTTGATAAACTGGTCATTTTCAGCGACTTTTACCATAAAATTGAATACTATCCGAGAAATGGATTGATTTGAGATGTTTACTTGCCGTTTGTTGCTAATGTTACATGTCTGTGACTTCAGCGCGAGTTTGTAAAAATGGTCGACCAGCTCCCGAGACCGTCCATTTACGAAAAGCACATTTACTACGTGGACTTTCAGAAGTGAGTATCGTCCTCTGTCAGAAATTAGAACTGGGCACTTCATTACTCAGTTGGCAGCCCAAACTAAATGTTTTCTTTTGTTTTCAACCCTTTACTGGTTGTCATTAGCCTGGATGCCATCCTATTCTTATGCCGGGGCTCCCATACTCGTACTCTCTCCCTAACAACTTTGTTTGGGAGTGAGTGTGGGTGACCCGGCATACAAATAGGATGGTACCCAGGCTAGGTTCCATTCCTTTTCATCCACATTTTAATCCCTTAGTGAATAATGAAAAAGATATTAAAACCGTTACTGAGTTTTCTTTCCTTCTTCTAGGTTTGGGTTGCAGCAGCCGGCGTACATTAACCTGGTCCGGGACCCGTTAGAACGGCGGATCTCTGGCTACTACTACATGCGGTTTGGACGGATTGAAGGCAACCAAAAACAGAAGCGAACGCACGAGGAGAAATCACAGGTCTCTGAAGTACTTAAGAATTATATAAGTGACAGATACAGATACAGATGCACATGATAATCAGAGTGGCCACGAGAATGGCTTCGGGGAAGGGGGTAAGCAGCAAACTGCACCCTTAAGCGGACCAAATCCCCTGGCATCTGATATCTGTCTATTTGATCAATATTTCTAGTCTTTCCAGCTCTTCTGAAGTCTGATAGAAGTTAATCTTTAATAACCATTGATAGCTTTTAGTTAGTTTAGTCAACATTGTCATTATCATAGGCGGCAAAACCATTTGTGAATATTGTCCAGGTTTGCTCACCTTTTTTTTCTTTTCTAGACGTTTGATGACTGTGTACTAAACGACCTGTGGGAGTGTGACGAGTTTGGACCGAAAACTTTTACGATGACGCAGTTCTTTTGTGGGCAAGAATCTATATGCATGTAGGTATGGTTGTGTACACGTGAGGGTGTTTTCCTATGTTTGACATCAGTTTTTATGTAGTGGCACGTGGTAGAGAACCAGTTGGAAGTCTCTTGCTTTGGACTTCTGACACGAAGATAATTATTAGTACTTCGTCCAATCTCAACACGTAAACACGTAGTGTAAATGGCTATACCAAGCGTACATGTAGCTATAGGTTGTAGCGATAGCTAAGCAATGTGCTCGCCATAGTTTCATAGGTTATGATTTGGTAGAATAAGAAATCACTATTCGTTCTAGGGAGCCTTCCCAAATGGCAGTGGAAACAGCTAAAGAGAACATCAGGCGGCACTACGCTGTGGTCGGGGTACTGGAGGAGTTCAGCAGCTTCCTGAAGGTCCTGGAGGGGGTCATGCCGCAGTTCTTCCGCGGAGCTCATGACACGTGGCGGGAAATTGGTAGGTAGCAGTATGTCATACACTCGACGACTCGTACCAATTCCCAAACAATCGACTTAATCCATGCATGCGAGGATAAGGAGAATTAACAGCTGATGATTTCTTGCGAAAGACCAGTGACACAATAATACACGAGGAGTGTCTTTTATGAATTTCAATTGCATATTTTGACAGTGACTCTTCATGCTGCCTAACCATTACATTTAGAAACGTATTCTTTCTTTGTGTATGTATGTATGTATGTATGTATTTATCCTGTACGTTTGTGGCATAGTCTTATCGTTGTGACGGAATATTTTGTTTGAATGTTGCAGAGTCGAAGCAGATGGAACACCAGAAAACGGCAATAAAGATTCCTCCTTCTGAAAAGGCCCGAGAAATCATGAGACAAAGATTGCACCTGGACTATCAAGTGTACGACTTTATAAAGGAGAGATTCCACATGCAGAAAACACAACTAGGAATAGAGGACTGAGCAATGAAAGATACTTCAAATATGTGCAAGTCCGTCCAGGTTGTACAACTTTAGTCAGTGTGGTCTGTACATTCATGCTTTTTAACTCTCTGTTATCGCAATATGTGCGTCTTGTCCTTAATGTTTATGCAAATGCAATTTATTCTCTTGTTGTGACATGTACGTAAACCAGTGTGTATATATGTATAATAAAGATCTTCATCCATTCAATAAAGCTTGTTTATTTCGTCAGAATTAAGAAACAGACTCTGCCTAAGCTGCAGAGGGGTTTAACAATTGGTACATGTACTGTATGTGGCTTCTTGGCCACTGCTTGCATCCTGAATGTTCTATGTAATGGTTACTATTGTCAGCTCGGTTTAGTGAAAAAGCCCAATCCTCATATCATCAGTATACACCGTCTGAATTCGAAGCTTTGAATGCGTGGACTTCTAACACTGACACAGAGGTATGGGTATACGCATAGCGATTTTGCACGGATATAGCCAGGGGCTTTTCCTCCAAGGTCATCTGAGGTCAGCTTGAAGTTGGTGTCATGGCCGACCCAGGTTTGGGACATGCGAAAGTAAAAATAGAAGCCGTAAACCCGTAGAGCACGAGGCTTCCCTCCTCCTCCCTCCTCGTGTTTCTTGTCGCTGACACGCAGCGATTCGCCCGAGACTAAATAAACAGTTTAGCCAGGCGCGCTTCATATATATCATCGCCCGGTACTGAAGTCATCACATGTTAAACGGCGTGTCCCATGGGACCACACCACACGCCCCCGTCTTTCCCCTCTTGTACTCCTGATGAGAAAAGCATTGGAGTGAAGTCTCAATAGCATCTATCAGGCTTCGGGAAGCGACTGGAAAGAGTGGCAATAGGCCCAATAAACAGCATGCCATGCATGGGAGTTGGCCCACCAAGGAGTACACATTTCGGAAGGTGGCATATTAATAGCGGACGTCGACCAACCCTGGGATGTTATCTGTTTATTTGGCCAATTTCCACTCTTTCTAGCTGCTTCCAACGCGTCTGGTAGAGGCTAAAGTCTCTATCCTTCCTTTTAATATAGATCGGGGGTTTGGAGGGATAGAAATAACGTTTTGGGCAAGATATTGGGAGATATTTGCGAGACTCCGAGAGACCCTCCCTGTGTAAGTATTGTGCCGTCCCTTATACAGAAAACACAAATCCATACGTCACGAGACGTGAGGACATGTTTGCCATGGACCGGGCCGGGAGAGTTTGCAGGGCCTGCCACCCGTATCATAGGTGGGTTTGTAGGAGAGATTTGGGAGCAGTATTTACATACCTGAAATGCACCAGAAGACGTTATCAACTAAAAGGTACCCAAATTAGGATGTTTATCCTTGAACTCATTGCTCACCGCCAACGGCGATTAGTTAGAAATCTTTAAGACGTGACTTGTAGTTTGATCCTAAGGGCACTTTTGTAATGGTCTTTAATCGATGTAGCGTAGTTTTCAGGAAGTAGGGCAGTTGTATATATGAGGCTGAACTAGTTTCTCAGCGCTCTGCGGTTGGATTACAGATTCTCCAAGCGTAGCGTAGCAGACGCGCCCTGTCAAGCCGTACTACATATCGGGGGACGAACATGAAGTCGGCAGCGGTGGTCTTACCGTTCACCGCGCTCTGTCTGTGTGTCGGGGTGTGGACTACCGGGCTGTTCAACGCCTGTTACAGAGGTATGACTTCACCGTTCAATAAGCTTATCATATCTTCATCAACAGGCCAATACAGAGCCTCATAGCTCAGCTGTCAGGCATGGTAAACAGAAGACAATGGCCCGAATTCTTTACGACTCTAGCAGTGCACTTGTACTTGAAGAGGCACGTACGCTGCATGTGACAAGGTTGTTTTCAATAACTCTGACTTCGGTATGCGTAGGAGACTAACCTATAAATGCCGAAGTTCAGCCCCATACAGCGACTTGGTGTGAGGTCATAAACTTTACCGAAGCCGGTTCACAATTAAGTCCGTTCCCGTTCCAAGTGCTTACATCTGGTATGAGTTGGCCTTAAGGCCCACAAGTACGTTTTGCCGGATTCTCTGACAGTTGGCGGACATGACACATGACAGGGCGTGTTTTTGATTACAATACTCTGGCAATACAATTGCACAAATGCTACTTGAAGTCTTAATAGTCAAGTTTGTCTAGAATATTTCGCAATCGTCAGTCTTTGACTCCACTGTAACTCTATCATGGCCCCTCTTTCTTCTTAGCCTTTCTTTCGTTCGTTCTTTTCCCTTCCTTTCTGCCTTGCCTTCCATTGTTTATTCAAGTCACGCCCCCATATTTAGGCTCAACTCTTGTCATGTTCCCCAAATTCGAAAATGTACATTTTGTGAAACGTCGTTTAGTACGAAGGTGCGAACGTTTTCTAAAACCAAAATGCCACAGTTTTGTTGAGTTGTTAAACTGAGCCAACCATGTTTTTCAATGGAGTTATGATGTGACCGTTCTCTACATGCATATGGAACGGACGGCTTACAATGTCCTCTTTGAAATACCGAGGCTCCTTCCAGCAGCGCACGAAATCAGGGGTCAGAACTAGTCTCCACCAGACTAACAACGCGGCTTCAAAAACAGCAGCAAAGTTTAGTCAAATAGGGAGAATAATTGGCCGGTGGAGTTCGGCCACCGTAGAGTTGATTTGCCTTCGGAGTGGAAAATTAACCCTCCCGCGGACTGACCCTCCCGGCCAATTATCCCCTTTTTGCCAAATTCTATAATCCGTACTCCCATAGGAAGGCCTGGCGGAGGCTAGGGAAGAGTACGGGCTAGACTGGGAGTCGAACCACTGACCCTGTGGTCCGGAAGCGGGATTACCCGGCAGCTAGCCCACGACACGCTAGCTACACCTGCATTGACCCGATCTCCTAATGTCGGTCTCAGTATGGATATTCTTCGTAACTTGAAAACGACAACATAGAAATCAAAGAAAGATGAAGAACATTGTAATCCTAGTAATGATACAAGTCGAGGCCAGACGTGCAGTACGACAAAGGGAGAAAGGGTTCGTCATATAGACTCTTCCACGTATACAATGTGGCCCGTGTAATGATAACATATATGCTTCTCTGGCCTACTGCCATTTCAGGGGAGTTAGCCGGCCATAGGCATAGCCTGTGGAACTTGCCTGCACCAGACATTTGCAGGCTGAATAAATAGTAGAAATTGACCTGCAGGCAACCTCTATGGCCGGCTAACTCCCCTTGGCCAGTTACATTCCTTTTTAGGCCAATTTCTACTATTTATCCAGCCTGCAAAGGAGTCTGGTGAGGACTAGTCATTTCCACTTGTTTCAGAAGTCGTAGATGAAAGGCTGCCAGCGCCAAAACAAAACTGGACCGTCAAACGTCGCCAGGAGCCGGGACTACACCGAGACGACGTGAGGGTCTGGGCGCGTCCCAGGCATAACTACTCTCACGTCAGCAAAGTCTTCTACAACAGGCTGCCCAAGTGCGGGAGCCGGGCCATGAAAGTACTCATCGCGCAGCTGGAGGAGAGGAACCACTTCAAGTTTTTTACCGACAAAAATCTTCACGCGAAGGCACTCAGTGGTGAACATTTGGTGAGTCGACCCTAGTTAAATCGTAAACAAATAAAAACCGTTATGTGCTGACTACACACTTATTTCAACAGATTCCATTTCGTGTGCTTGTAATTTATGTCTATAAACACAAAATGTACAAATACATGCATGATATTTAGTAGACACAGTCTTGTTTTTGTGACTTTCCCCATGCATCAGCTTCGGTTTGCACAGATGATAGACAAGCTACCGCTTCCATCCATTTACGAGAAACACACCTACTTCATCGACTTTCCATTGTAAGTATTCTGGTCCTTGCACTGAGACTTCATTTATCAGAGTCCTCCTAGCCTTTAAGGAGGGGGGGGGGTCAAGATAAGTTTTATTATTCAGCAGGAAAAACGTAAAAACACATGTTCAGTAACTTGTGTCAAGATATAACCACTCCATTTTATCAAAACTTATAGCCTCTACCAGGCTTCGCGATCGTCAAGCGGCTGGAATGAGTAGAAACTGGCCAAATAGACAGATAACATGCCAGGAAAGTTCGTCCGCTAAAGGGGTACAGTTCGTCAACTCCCCTGGCATTATACCTGTCTATTTTGCCAGTTTCTACTCCTTCCAGTCGTTTCCCGAAGCCTGGTAGAGGCTATCAGAATTGCACTTCATCATTTCCTGTCATGCCGCTTGTTATCGTAAGGGGGTGCTTCATGCGATGCATTTGGCAAAGGAAAACGTTCAATGACATGTTCCCCTCTCCCTTTAGGTTGGATGCGAAACAGCCGATCTACATAAACCTGGTCAGGGACCCCATAGAGAGACGAGTGTCTGCCTACTACTTCCTCCGGTACGGGCGGTACGGGAACGACTTTTCTCCCATCCTGAAGCTGAGACGAACGGAAGAACAGAGGAACCAGGTTTGGGAAACCTTCTGACGGTTGTGTAGAAGCTGTTTTCGTCTTCTGAAGTTTTGTCTGGACTGAATCCATGAGTGAAAGCATAGTCTGTATGATAAACTTGGACGTACCCTGTCCGAGATGTTGATATCTCTCATCCGCGTTGGGAATTCAAAAGTAAACGATATAGTGTGTATGAAGCGAGTCTCAATTCAAATGCTCAGCACGGGTCAAGGGCATATTTTATTCATACCAACAGTGCTAATATTAATAACCCCTGGAATTCGCTGGCTGGCTTGCTGGCTTTATCCAAGGACATTATACTACAATGTCCTTGCTTTATCATATAATATGTGAAGAATCCTCTAGGAGTTGGATACATATGTCTCTACCGCAATTCATCTTATTTGCTTGTATTTGCAGACATTTGACTACTGTGTCGTCAACAACTTGCATGAGTGCAGCGCCACCGAACCCAACAGCTTCATACTGACGCAGTACTTCTGTGGACAAAGTACAATATGCTCGTGAGTGTCTAGAGACATGTAATCTTGACAAAGACCTCGTACATTATATATAGCAGCATTTACAAAATAGCAGAGGGAAAGAATCAAGAGGACTTGAAAGGTAACATTTGCAAAGCCAAAGCAAATGCATCATGTTTACCTTCACATGGTTTAGCCTAACAAAGTGCTGCTCTGTTTATTCTTACTCAAACGCATTCATATGACATGGTGACCAGCCATCCAACTCTGTCCTGCAACTTGCAACTTAATGTAACTCAACACCACAGTGTTTCTACTACAGCATCAGTTACCATGGTGACAGCCGCCTGGTTCACGTCACTGACCTAACGTGTTTGGAGAACAACAAGAAGAAACAGAGCAACAAGATTTTCCTTCTGCGAAGGTAAACATAATTAGCACCTAGTCCCCTGTATTGTGATGCTGACTATAAATATTTCTTAGGAAACCTTCGCAGGCGGCTGTTGAAGTGGCGAAGGAGAACATCCGGCGGCACTACGCTGTGGTCGGGGTACTGGAGGAGTTCAGCAGCTTCCTGAAGGTCCTGGAGGTGGTCATGCCGCAGTTCTTCCGCGGAGCTCTTACGGAGTGGAAACAAATCGGTACGTACGTCGTTGAAGCAAATTTCTTCGGGGAGAAGGCGCTATATTAGTTGGCCATCGGTGTGTACTATGTACAACGCAATCCTATTCAGGTCCCACCCCATGGCCAGTATTGTATACATTCAAAGTATAAGTACAGTAAGTATAATTCACTAACACTGTACTTAATATAAGAACAACTTGATGTAAGAACAATTAAGATGTAAGGACTCCAATTAAAGCACTTGTCCATTGTGTGATGATATAGATACAGTTATAATTAGCACATTGTAGTAGATGAAGAGCTTTGTACACATCGTTCCATCTATGACACATTTATACTTGAATATTGCAGAGTCAAGTCAAGTACCATATCAGAAGACGAACAATAAGATACCCCCCTCTAAGAAGACCCAACAAATCCTGAGACAGAGATTGTCCCTGGACTACCAAGTGTACGACTTTATTCTGGAGAGATTCCACATCCAGAAGAAACAACTCGGGATCAAGGACTGATTCATCTGATGAGATTGGGGACGCTCCTAGGATGGGGGTCACTGTATGAAAGACATACTCACATTCCAACATGTCTATTTCTTACTGTGTAAGACGTATCTGCGTTATATCGGTATCATTCCCCCAGAAATGACTACAAAAGAAGGACATAATTTCTGTCCATCAATGCTCGATGTACATGATCTATCAGGGAAAGTCAGCCTTGCGTATGTCCCCATGTAGTATTTTGCTCTTTTCCTTGCTTTTCTTGTATGATAGAACCCATTTTATTTTGTCAACGCTCCAGATAATCCGCTAGGTTGCTGTTAGCTTTTCACGTTTATTTTCCGATATGACATAGTCGTATACCGAGCAACCCCTTTACGTGCGCTACATAATTAACAAACAGCGTGAATAAGAATTCAAAGTGTTTTACCTCTCAGGAAGTTGTGTGTTATAAAATTTGACTGGAATTGATAAGCAGGAATTCACACCATCTCAAAAACAAGATGTGCTGTTTCACTATCGCCAATCTTACGTGTCAGAGGTTGCCCGGCTTTGACCCTTCAATGATTAGTAAGAAAGTAGTAAGACAGGTTCCAGGCGCCATTCTGAAAACGTGCTTGTGTCTCAAATATGTCTGCATCACCGGATCAAAACAGTCTGGTCTGTACAATTATAGTACGAATCAGTCTAGATCGTCAAAAAAACCGTCTTCTGTCTGATTGAGGTATGTGACTGAATGTTTCAATCTATCGCGTTTTCTTTTCGTGTTGTTCGTTTGCCCTTGTTTTTATCGCTCGAAAAAAAATAATAAATGGGATTTGATAGTACATGTATTGGTTGCTGATCGGTGATTTTATGATCATTTCATTCCCGTATTGAGACGATAGGTAGACTCGGTTAAGTACTCGGTTATATATTGGGATTTGCAGACCGTTCTGTTATGCAGGTGAACGGAGCAGTCGTGTGAAAACATCAAAATGGCAACATTCCAGGTGGCCAGGCCTTTACTGTCCTTTGTCGCCCTTTCTGTATTGATTACACTGTGGACGATAACATATCTCCATTGCAACTTTAAGCTAGGTATGCGTCCTAAGCTACTATAGATTGCAATTGATGTTTGTGTTTTGTGTGTGTGTGTGTGTGTGTGTGTGTGTGTGTGTGTGTGTGTGTGTGTGTGTGTGTGTGTGTGTGTGTGTGTGTGTGTGTGTGTGTGTGTGTGTGTGTGTGTGTGTGTGTGTGTTTGTGTGTGTGTGCTTGTGAGTGTGTGTGTGTTTGTGTGAGCTATGTGCGTGCGAGTGTGTGTGTGTGTGTTTGTGTGAGCTATGTGCGCGCGCGCGTGTGTGTGTTTGTGTGTGTGCGCGCGCGTGTGTGTGTACACGTGTGACTGTGTGTGTTTCAGGACTCGACTTCTTAGTAACAGGGCGCATTGTGTCTGTCAGCAATTTCCGCCCGTGACTTCTATTGATGTTTCATTAAAGATATCTCAACTGACAATTCGTTTTCCTATATTGGGTAGGAGTATGATAACCTAAGATCACTGTGAACCTTTAATACCAGGTTTTGGACACAAAGAGGGCCTAACACCGATACAACCACGGGCTGAACATGTCCAGGATAAGACAACATCGAGCCTCTGCCCATGTGTCAACCATAGCTACTCTACGGCTACTAAAGTCTTCTACAATAGAATGCCAAAGTCTGGAAGCAACACCGTCAAAATACTCATCAGAAAACTGAAAGACAGAAATGGCTACGACTTCTTTGAAGATCCAACCTATTTAGGACAATCAGTGCTTTATGGCAGAAACTTGGTGAGTAGAATTTCCTATGACATTTTCCTATAGAAAGTTCAGATTGTGATCAAACCTCTTCTTTCTACATGATCAAACTGTATAGTATGTAATATTTACATAAGGGTCACAGTTATACCCTTTCTCGTGCATGTGTCGCAAATAGGCCCTAGTAGCCTATACGCCTAGCCGGCTTTACGTGGCCTTGTTATGCTTTCACACACGTCAATTCTATCTTTCCTTTCCAGAGTAACTTCGCGCAAATGATCCACAAACTCCCAACGCCATCTATTTACGAGCACCACACTTTCTATGTAGACTTTCAACAGTAAGTATAAAAATTCTTCTATCTCTAGAAAACTTTCCAAAACCATATAGATCACTGACTGAAGTTGTCGGGTTCAGATTTGTATTGCCCTTAGGAAGGTGAGAGACGGTCACAAAAACATCGGCTTGTGAAACGCCTTTGGTTGTGAATAAAGAACGCTTTTATACAGTCCTTTCGTGATAATTCAATACTACTGATTTTTGCCTTCTGTCCTGGAAGGTTAGGGTTGCAGCAGCCCGCGTACATTAACCTGGTCCGGGACCCCATAGAACAGCGGATCTCCGGGTATTACTACATGCGGTTTGGACGAGATGGCCAAAACCTCACAGCCGAACACATGCAGAGAAGAACAGACGAAGAAAAATCACAGGTGTCACAGCTTCAGCAAAGACTACTTGATTTCATTCGTTTTCCCCATATGTCTCAGACAGTTTTGACACGTTAGAATGTCAACTATTTTCTAAACTTTTTTATGCCTACTTATGATTTCTCAAACTCCGGATCAAAGGAGTTATACCGTCATACGCGGAGAGCAGTCTGAATAGCAATCGCAGTACTAAACGTTCCTATGCTGTCATTCCAGACATTTGATGACTGTGTTTTTAACAACCTGTGGGAGTGCAATGACAAAAGTATCCGCTCATTTCTGCTGACAAGATTCTTCTGTGGACATGAAGCGATATGCCTGTAAGTGGGTATTTCATTTCCCCATGGTTGATGGCGTCATTACATTTACGCAAACTATATCTACTTCCCGGATGTTTGAAATCTCAGGTTTATTGTTACACAGTTGTTGGCAGTCATCATTAGAGTGAGTTTTATTTCAGGAAGCCTTCCCAGCTGGCAGTCGAGAAAGCTAAAGAGAACATCCGGCGGCACTACGCTGTGGTCGGGGTACTGGAGGACTTCAGCAGCTTCCTGAAGGTCCTGGAGGTGGTCATGCCGCAGTTCTTCCGCGGAGCTTATGAAACGTGGCGGGAAATCGGTAGGTAGTATTTAAGGATGTAGACGTAGAGCCGGTAGAGGTATTGGTAACGTTTGATGTAGTTGTATTGACGGTAAATGAATGAATATGTGTTGCAGATACAGATTGACATGTACATGTACATGTAGTATTGGAAATACAGTTAAAACCGCTCAAGAAGACCACTCAAAGGACAGATAAGATCTAGTCTATGTGGACAGGTGGTTGCTATTGATATGATTCTTAATGCTTGTGTTAGAATATATGTTTTATATGATGGGAAAAATTATCGAAGGGACCGGCAAAAAGGTTGTCCGGCACACTGGCCAGGTGGTTACTAGTACTAGTGCAAAAGCGTCGAATGTGGATGTAAAAGTTGATGTAGACCTTAGCGGGAGTACATTCCAAATAAGTAGTGTTATCACGTGTTATCATGTTCTATCCATTGTATGTGCGTTTCCTATGAAATTCTTTCAGTACTACTAGTATTTGACCATTTCAGAGTCGACTGAGAAGATCGAAGGGCTGAAAACGGCCAACAAGAGACCTGTTTCTGAGAAGGCGCGGGGGATAATGAGAGAAAGACTGAAGTTGGACTACCAAGTGTACCACTTTATAAGGGAGAGATTCCACATGCAGAAAACACAGTTGGGGATCGAGGATTGAGGAGGAGAAGAAACGAACTTAGTGCCAACAATGATGTCACCACTACTGCTACCTGACTAAGTGTTAATTTGCACAACCATAAGACCTCATTAGTATTGTCTTTTCTAACACATAATAGTATACGTTTCGACCTATGATATTTTATGGATTTTTTTAAAACATATTAAAACTACCACTCATACATGTTTTTGTACATATTATACTGTATTGTATTGTTTTGTATTGTATCATTGCAACTTATAAAGGTGTTGATACGTGGAGAATTCTAATAAACAAATAATCACAAATAAGAACATGTATCTCTTAATGTTGGGAAACATCCAGTAGTATCGCGTGGCAGAGGCTACCTCTTGTCTTGGAGATCGCCTACCGATAGGAACTGGAAATACCGGTTACACAGAGAAAGGACGTTCTGGCCCGCAGGCGCTGTGTCACCTGAACGGAACTACGTCACACAAATGAAGGCTGCTGGGGAAGTCAGGCTGTTCATCGCTCTCGTTGTTTTGACTGGATTATGGATCATACTGCAGCTGTATCATACTCCCAGACAAGGTATATGTACTAGTCTGTTCGGTTTAGAACAAGTTCTCAAGAAATCTTACTAAAATTACTTTGTATAAAGGTACAGGTAATGGGCAATGTAGTAATCCCTGGTGTACTCGGTTAGACAACAACAAGCCCTACTTCATACACCTGAGTAATACGTATTACGTACACATTCATTATGACCTCCATGACATGTCATGGAGGTTATTACCTTCGCCAAGAAGGTTATGTTTTCAGAAGCGTTTGTGTGTGTGTGTTGGTTTGTGCGTGTGTGCGTGCACATGTGTGTGTGTGTGTGTTTGTATGTGTGTTTGTTTGTGCGTGTGTGTGTGTGTGTGTGTGGTTTAGCACGATAACAAGATGGATTGTCATGAAACTTGGTTGAAGGTGGATAGGTCTTGACGAGACCTGGAAACGATTGGATTTTGAACCCTTTGGTGCTTTCCTAGATACTGCATCAGAAGTTCCGGTTTTTGATATCTCATGATCTAGACATGCTAGGGTCACAAAATTTGGATGGTACATAGCTCTTGGGCTAGGAAAGAAGTGACATGAATTTGGGCCCTCTGGCAGCTTGTCCTGGAAGGTCGACGTCTTCGTTAATTCAATAATATTAGGCTGCTCGGCTCAACTGTACACTGCAATAATCGGACAGTCGTCGGTCGTAAGGTAAAGATATCCTGATACGCTCTTTGCTTTATTTTGTGTCGACCCTAATGACTAGTTTTATCGGTTATCAGAATCTACAACTGAACGAACCCCGGCGCTACTGAAGCAGAAATCATTGGTAGACGCCAGACTCCGGGACAAACCTCTAGTATTCTACAACAGAGTGCCGAAGTGCGGAAGCAACTCCATGCTGATTCTGCTCAGGAAGCTAGCCAAGAAAAATCACTTCGCCTTTCACGAAGACAGGGTCTATGTGATAGAAACGTTCGAAGCGGATGAGTTGGTAAGTGGGATGTCATTTTCTGTCCTCTGAATGTTTTGTTGTCGTTTAGAAACATATAACGTTATTAGTAACAAGCTAGGGTAAGCAATTATTATAATTGGCATGATTATGTATTGATTGCAAGCTTTGGCACTCATCAAAAGTAACGTTTTTGTTACGTTTCTTACGTGTTTCCATCTTCAATTTTTGCAGCAAATCTATACAGAATTGGTCAACCGACTTCCGACTCCTTCTATCTACGAGAAGCAGATATTCTACATTGATTTTCGGAGGTGGGTATCAATTCATACACAACCGCCACCGCCAACGAAGAATCCTTCACGAACACCTCAAGCCAGACGATGGAAGTCCTAAAACTTCTTCCCTCTTTCATTAGACCAGCATTGCTCTGTACCCGTCCATCTTACAACTAAAGATGACAGACACAACAAGAAACTCACGTATGAAAAACACCCACTAAATGTTGATATCTAGTATTAGATGTCTACCTGGTTCGATTTTAGTGTTTACATAAATGCCCCCGGCCTCTTCTTACAGACACGGGTTCCAACAGCCTTTGTACATCAACCTGGTCAGGGAGCCTTTAGAAAGACGCGTGTCCTGGTACTACTATATACGCTTCGGACGGGTTTCTCACAGGGCACTACCGAGGAACTTCTCACAGCAGGAGATGGCGCAGGTTTGTTGTGTTAAGCGATACAGTTATGTTTATTGAAGTGTTATTACTTCCGGGTACGGATGTACATGTATTGTTATGGGTGGTAGAGTTGTGGGTTTGTGCGTCTGCTTGTCGAAGTAGTGTCAGGGTGGGAGGTGATTTTGACAGTTGATCGATAGAGAGGACAAGCCCGAAGGTGACTCAGTATGCGCGGGGTGGCAGTTAGTGGAGGAATTCAGGTGGTGTAATACCCGATTAGATAACATCATACAATCCCACCCACAGTTCCAATATATTTACGAAAACAAAAACACTGCAGGCCTGATGCTGAACTTGAAGGTCGCGAACACCGAAATGCCTCGTTATAAAAAAGAAGCACTTTTTTCAGTACATGTAATTCATTAACAGGTCTCATCCTGTAACTTGTCATTTCCATACACAGACATTCGATGAATGTGTCTTCAACAACGCATGGGAGTGCGACGCTCAGGGACAAGAGAGCTTTCTGATGACGAAGTATTTCTGCGGGCACGATTCGATTTGCAGGTAAAGTTACATATTGTTTGTCTGGCATAACAGGTAAAACGCCTTTAGGAGTAACACACAGGCTTTGTACAGTATTAAAGCACAAGCTACAACAATAAGAAGTATACATTCATACATAGTTGTCAACTCTCGGACTACTTGTCATCCAGGAAGCCTTGCCAGCTGGCAGTAGAGAAAGCCAAAGAGAACATCCGGCGGCACTACGCTGTGGTCGGGGTACTGGAGGAGTTCAGCAGCTTCCTGAAGGTCCTGGAGGGGGTCATGCCGCAGTTCTTCCGCGGAGCTCATGACACATGGAACAAAATAACCCAAGGTATGAAGCAGCATTTTTTAAACCCACATCATACAGAGACTTATCAAAGTTCAGGAAACACTACAGAAACATCATTCATGAGCCAGTAGTTGTGATGGCATACAACCCCTTCATTTCCTAAGAAATACTTTTATATGCTTTGAACTTTCTAGGGTGAGAAGGATCTTTTGACTAGATATAAGTGAATGCAATGACCAACACACACAGCACGGTGTAATTTTGCAATGCCATATTTTGTATGCATGCCTTGGCCATTCGTTCATCTGCTGATGAATTCAATATTGGGAAGGATACCATGACAATATAACATGATGCTGATTCCATAATTCACCATTTTTCAGACACAGAACTTCTGGAACAACAAAGAACTGTAAACAGATTCCCTCCATCTCTGAGAACTGGGAAAATCATGAGGGACAGACTGAAGTTGGACTACCAAGTGTACGACTTTATAAAGGAGAGATTCCACATGCAGAAAAAACAACTAGGAATAGAGGACTGAGCAATCATAGACACTTGGAATATGTGCAAATCATCAAATTCAAGTACAGCTAGGAATCAAGGACTGAGCAATGCTGAGATATATGCTGCTATTATAGTTATCCTTGGCTTTGCTCCCTAATACAACTGTGCAATTATGACTTCAACACTCATTAAATGCATGTTGAGCAGTGTGTTTATGCTATGATCTAATGCTCTGTGTGAGTTCAGTCTAGAAATTAGCATATATTAGATAGTCAATAACTTTTTTGTGGTCACAGTTTTAATATTCATATTTATACCATAACTATAATGTGCCAATAAAACATAATTATCTAATGTATGTCCTGTGTGGGTTAAGTTAAGTTTATCTTGAGCAGGTAGCATATGAACTTTTGAATCTCCCATTAATTCCTTCCATTAATATATTACTGATACTGCATGTTGTGGTATGATGCACTTAAATTTAGCTGTTAAACAAGACACAACCATGTACAATCATGGAATCAATAAAATGTATCATAGGGACAACAGAGCATTTACACAATTTTCTTCTGGTTAAAATCTATTTGACTGGAATTGCATGGCCTATCTAGTGGTGTCATCTTTTTAGTACAGATATGAAAGCATCTTTAGGAACATCAACATTTCCAATCTTCTTCATCCTCTTCTTCCCCTCTGCCTGCCTCTTCAGAAGTTTCATCTTTCTTGAGATGTCTCCACCGTACTGGACAAAGAAAGAACATTTTGATTTGCATCGTAGACATACTGGAATGCATAGGAAAACACTTTCAAACAACAGTAAGTATTCATGATCATATGTTGGCAAGATAGAACAGAAGCATGGTCAATCGCAGATACCGGTAAACAAGCATGGGACACAGCATTGGCAGGGAATAACTGGGAAGCACAGTCTTCAATGTCTTCTCAGTTCAGAAGTTTTAACTAAATTCTAAAAATCGAAAACACAGGATGATTTAGCTTTGACTTACACATTTTGCCAACACATTCTTCTTGTAGGCCTTTACCCTGGAGCAAAGGAACAACAAAAATTGATTGAAGTACTGTAATAAACTGAAGTTGAAACTTCATTAGCAAGAAAAAATTCAAAGAATGAGAGTAAAACATGTGATGTGATGTGTCTACATACGTTTCCCTGGCTATGACCCTGCCCCCTAGAGCTGCCTGAATGATGACTTCATACAGCTGTCTCGGGATGACGTTCTTTAGTTTAGAGGCCAGAGCCTTTCCCACTGGGTAGGCCTTGTCTTTGTGCACGATGGTGGACAGTTCGCTGATGGCTTGACCATTGAGGAGGACGTCCAGCTTGACCAGTTCAGCTGGTTCATAACTGTGATCCTCGTAGTCAAAACTGAGTAACAAAAAAGCACGTTCTTTGTATTCAATGAGAGGATATCACTTAGTACATGTTTTTCCAAATGAGCATTTATCTAAAAAAGTAGAAGGATGCAAGACAGCCAAATATTTTACAAGCACACACACCAGGGACAGCCAAATGCCACATTCTACCATCCAGGGCATACTGGGACACAACCCTGTCAATCAACTGAAACCAAATCTCTGCCAGTCCTCCTGCTCAGGATAAGATACATACAAACTCCCCCTAAACCAGAGTTAGCCAAAACAATATTTCCCATCTGTGTATTCTACACATTACTATCTTAATATAGTCCTACATGTATCTGATAGTCCTATGAGACGTCCTTCTTACCTTGCATAGCCTGAAGTGATAGACTTGAGCTGATCGTAAAAGTCCACCACAATCTCGTTGAGTGGCAGCTTGTACTTCAGCAGCACCCGTGATGTGTCAATGTACGTAAAGTCCACCTGTTCTCCTCTTTTAGCCTGCAACAAAATTGTTCTGGTTGGTGAATACTGAATGTTTTGATGCTATTAATTTCTGTTCCATTCTAATACCCTATGCTCTTTTGACATTATTCTTTGCAAAACTTCATTGCAAAGGGTTCCTTATGATGGTTCTTTATCAGGATTGTAGGATTTTCTATGCCTATCACACGAAAATTCCTGTGAGAAAAGTAGTAATATACAATATATGGCATGAATATTAGCAACCAACACTTTGGAAACATTTTTAAGCTTGATCTTGTAATATCTGCACCAAGCCATGGTCCAAAGATGGCAAATCTTTCAACATTGTTTCATTTCCAAAATTGATGCTTCAATCGTTCATTAATGAAGTCCATAAATGTTCTTACCTCACAGAGGCTGAATATCCTGTTGAGATGAACGTCTGGAGTGATGATGGTTCCCAGGACCATGGGCTCCAGGTACTCTGTAACATCTCTCCTCTCAGGGAACTACAGGGAACATAGGAGTGTTACATCTTCATAACATACCTGATGAGGATGGGTATACAGTACATAGAGAGTAAGACTACACCAATCCTGCTCCTAGTCTTTGAGAATTATCCTACTACATGTGGTATAACAACGCTCTTTATTTACAACTGATGGAGTTTCACATACACCAATGTTTTGGTGTATGACATACACCAATGTTTTATTGACTGCTTCACTACAGCTAGGCACCACTGCTCTGCAGCTAGACATCCAATAGGTTGGCGCAATGATGCCGGCAGTTTTCCTGGACAAAGATCTGCTTTGTTACTTCTGAAACAAAGTTGAACTTCACCTCTGCAGGGCTGAAGATGGTGATCTCCTCTGTCTTGTACTGCTTGATGAGTTTGTCACTGCTCAGACGAGCTGGGGATGGACATAAAGAACAAAACATATTTGTGCAATAAACTGGAAAGTTAAAAGATATAGATAAAGCAGGTGACCTCAGCCTGATGACAAAGCTAGTAGTGCAAAGCGGCTTTGATATGGCAAGTACTTATAGCCAAGCACATTGGGTCACACCTACCGGTACTCTTATCTTGATGCCATAAGCTATCTCATACATGTGCATGGGGGCCCCAGCTTTACATCCCTATTCAACAGGAGGATGAGATTCTTTTCCAGTTGTGTCCAGACCTGGACATGAACCTGAGCTGCTGGCTCAATCAAATTTGAACCAGATATGGCAAGTTTGAGATTAGGGAGCCCCTGACCTTTGCATGGAACACTAGGAGTGGTGACGATGGCAGTAGCGTTGTACTCCTGCTCCAGCCTCTGGTTGAAGACTTCCATGTGCAGCAGCCCCAGGAAACCTAGTCTGAAACCCAGGCCTAGAGCAGGGCTGTTTTTATGACAATAAAATGGAAGTGAATGAGAAAGTAGAGTGCCTCAAACTAACCGACATATTTTATACAGCAGCAGTCCCTCAGTAAGACATCTGGAACCACATAGTTCACATCATGGAAAAATTCTACCTCCATGTTCACATTTAGAACTTTTGTTCAGCCTGTCACGACTGGTTTCACCCAGTGACTTCTTCAAGTGAATAGAGGCTAACTATGTTCACAAGGTTTTAATTTCTAACCATTTTAGCTGTAAAGAACAATATTCCAACATTGCAAGATTGCTTAATAGATTCCCATATGTTCTGTTATTCCCCCGTCACCTGCTGTCCTTAGCAACCGTGACGCTGGAGTCATTTAAGGTCAGCCTGTCCACAGCCACCTTCAGGTCCCTGTACTCAGACTGGTCCATGGGGAAAATTCCTCCAAACACCTGAAAAAGACAAAAAAGTCTCTTGCTTTTGTAATGGAGAAAATTGAATGATTTTTAAGGCACTTTGGATTCTACTAATCATGGTGTGAACTACTAAATTGCAATGTATACATTTAATGAAAGATCAAAGAAACACATCTAAAAGTGAAAAGTCAAAAATATAATCTATATCAAACCGATAAACAAAAATAAATACCATGGGCTTGGCAGGTTTGAATCCAGGTAGCGGCTCCACAGGTGAGTTGGACAGGTGTAGAGTGTCACCTATCCTGGCCTCCTGGATAGACTTCATACCTGCTATCAGGTAACCCACCTGGCCAGCATGGCTGCAGAGGGGAGAGGGAGGAGCACTTCTTTTTATTTCTTCAGATGTTTTCTATCTTTATGAATCTCAAGAGAAGTTGAAGAAGTTACAAGGCTGGCATGCTTATTCACAGCTGTCACATGTTATGTGAGGATTATGAATTTTTCATTTATCTTTTTGTTCATATTATCAAAGTTGCTATATAACTGGTACTTCGAATTGAGAGAGATAAATGTATTGCGAATGCAGTAGGAGGGAAAGGGAAGCTTTAGCAATGTTCAAAAATTGCAGTTTAAACAATTTTGCAGTACAGTAGAGCAATAAAACTCATCCACAGTGTTATGACTAAGAGGTGAAAAAAAAAAACACTGCCAAAGTTTCTCAATTTACAGAACATTGTACTAACAGTTCCTGTGTAGCCTGGTGATCTGGGCTCATGATGCCGACCTCCTGCACCTCGTAAGTCTTCTGTGTGTGAGCAGAGCTGATCCTGTCCCCCTGCCGTACCCTCCCGTCTACAACAGCCACGCTGGTCACAGCACCCCGGTAGTGGTTATACGTAGAGTCAAACAGCAGGGCCTTCCAGGGCTGGTTAGGGTCAGACTTTGGCCTGGAAAAAAAACATGGCTCTTGGTTGCAAATGTGCAGTTCTTTGCTTTGGCAATGCCAAATCACACAAATTAAAAAGAGTAGGGGTTCATCCCTGTGTGAGTACATCAAACATTACAGTCTGGTCTTACACAGCTTGTACTTACTGTACAAAACTGGTGTTATTCCTAAAGGCAGTCTACTGGCTATGTGAAACACATAAACAAACATTCAACATTCTATTAAGCATCCATAAAAGGTACATGCACTTACGGTGGTATTCTCTGGATCACTGCATCAAGGATTTCTCTACAGTTCAGTCCTAGTTTAGCTGATATCTGGGAAAAAATACCTGGCACTGTTACAGCAACAAGTCAAGTGAAAAGCACAAAGATAATTGTGTGATGGTAATTTACAAGATTTTGCATGTTAAATGAACAAAACCATCTATGGTCGAGAGATCTTACCTTAAAGAAGTCTTCTTCTTTAAAATCAAACAGTCGTCTCATTTGCTCTTCTGTGGACTCTACGTCAGCTTGTTTAAGATCTATCTGTTGGTAGGAAGAGTTTAATTAACTATTACATATGCATGGTCATTATGCAAGTGTTCCTGAGAGACCTTACAAAATAACACTCCAAAGATATTCCAAAAGTACTGGTGAAATAGTATGTGACTGTTATAATGTGCATATTTCTCTGAATATTTGTATCAAAAATTCTTTTTTAAAGTAGTTATGAGTACTTGTAAGATTGTGATTGTATTTACCTTATTAATAACTGGTATAATGGCCAGCTCTGACTCAAAGGCCAGGTAAAAGTTGGCAACAGTTTGGGCCTGTACTCCCTGGAAAAAAAGCAGATAGGAAAATTTGACAAAGACTTTCAGCAAACATACAACTCAAGTTCAGACTCCAAAACACACTTCATGCCTAACATCCTAACACATCTTAACATGTGATACATAATAATACATATACCTTCTATATTGTAACTTCTCATTGCAATGTGGAAGAATCATAAACATCTGGTCATATATGATGTAAACGTTTCTTAAGAAAGATGGAGTTTAAAACACATGTAAGCTCCTTCAAAGATCTGAAACATGATCTACCCACCTGATTTGCATCCACCAATAGCAGCACTCCCTGACAAGCAGCCAGGGACCTGGACACTTCATAGTTAAAATCTACATGACCCTGAAACAACACAAAAATAGCTAATAAACTCCAGATATACTTCCATTTTAGATACATGTACCAATAAGTTACAAAAATAATCCTTACAGTTGCAATTACCCTTAAGGTGAGAATTTGCCATAAAATATTTGTTCTTTGTTTATTTTGTTTACTTTATTATAAAATATGCTCCATGAAAATTTCAGTGTGCTTTTATTTTTACAACAAACAGGTACTGTGTTTGTCAAAAACTAGTCACCCAATTGTTATATTGTCATGGTGGAAGTCAAACATCTAAAACAAGTCATTAACACCATTTAAAAGTACATGCAAGAGGGTTCAATCAGTCTTGTATTTAACCTTCTTGGTACATGTATGTACAAAGAAGTATTCCCTATTGTGTAAATGTAAACATAAGTGGACATGTTTGTTGAAAAACCTCTATAGCCACATGCTACTGTTTATCTCTGATGTAGTGGCCCCAGACCAGATATCTTGTCCTGGTGAGTGGGCTAACTTTGCTCCTGTGGGCCAGCTTATCTGTAAAGACTAACACCTGTTGGCATGGCAACCCAGTCTCGGCCAACCACTGCACAGGAGAAACATGACCTCATCCTGATGACATCATCACCAGCTGATGCTTGCCACATGTGAGGTTTTAAACTGGTCTGTGCTGGAATGTTCTGCTTTCATTCTGTAGTACAGCTCTATACCTTCTTGTTCCCCATTGGCTACACTATACAGTGCCTTTTCACGTTGTGACAGCAGGCTATACAGCTGCCATATTTGCTGAGTCAACAGTTCTGGGTTTATGATTAACCAGCAGGGAAAACCGGGCACTGCTTCCTGGGAGGTGACGCTATAAACTAGCCGCAACCAGTGTTACACGGTGAGCGTTCTGCACTTATACAGGGTCCTACAATATTTGCAAGAATCACAGCAACCGGTGAGTGGGGACATTCTGAGATATCAAGAACACAGACTGGTGGGTCCATGTAAGCACCAACTGCCAAGAAGTGAGGACTTCCCGGCAAAAGAAACTGCTGAGTCCCCAGATATAGGACGTGACATAACTGGTGAGGGTTGTTGTGCCCTTTCAGCTGACCCCTTGGCTGCTCTGCACGGATCTAGAAACAGGAAGCAGGCAGGAAACCCCCTCCGGGCAACCAAACAGCTGACTGTATCAAACCGACTGTTGCCACATCAAGACCAACAGTGGAGGGGAGGTACTTTGTGGCTTTTCTTATCCTCCAGACGACTAGTTTTCTTCTCCAAGGCCATAGGGCAAGAAGACTGTGGCACTCAAGGTACCGGTCCATGTGTCTTCTGTCAAGAGGGAGACTTAAGTAGCTACCATGGCTCCTTGAGTTGTATCATAGAAGAGGTAGCGTCCATTCCGAGATGTTTACTGAGTGAGGTCACGTCTCTGGACATACTGGGCCGGCAGGATGGCAGCCCGTCCCAGGGTTACCCAGACATCCTCCCTGCCTCCGGCCTCACCCCTCCCACCAGGGCACGGGCCAAACTTCAGCACATTCTGCAGCAGGACCCTCCAGACGACAACTGTACCTTCTTCTCTCAATTCCATCCCGGTAACTACACGATCTCAGAATTGGTGTTGTATCTGAACTCAAGTGGCACTGCCGATTTCCCACAGATTTGCTTCGCGACTTGCCCTCACTGAATCAACTCGTGATTGAAGGGTTACAGATGCACGCACCACCACCGATGAAAGGACTAAGCTCACTGAAGACAGTAAGCATGGCAAGCAATGGCATACAAATGCTAAATCTTACCAATGTCAAAGGTTTAGCTGAAGTGTCAAACATCAAGTTAACTGGAAACACCTTGGAAAGGATTCCTTTCCATGCCTTTGCAATGAGTAGCCTTGTGAAACTAGAGGAACTAAAGTTAGACTCCAACAAAATCTCAGTAATAGACGAGGATGCTTTCGCTGGCCTGCCATCTTTAAAAGTGTTAGACCTTCATGGTAACATGATTCAAGTACTAAACAAGGAAATCCTACATCAGCTTGAATATCTAGACATGCTAAACTTGTCAAACAATGCTATCCACACACTGGAAGCACAAACATTCTCTGAGATGAAGGATTTGCATGTTCTTGACTTGTCCCAGAACAATTTGACCTTGACAGCTGAAATGCCAGCATCGCTATTCACTGGACCAGAAAATCTGACCAGTCTGTACCTGGCTCAAAACTTGATCAGCAGTTGCCCTGAGGACCTGGGAAGAGCACTGCCCTATCTACAACATCTTGACCTACAGAGAAACAACATTTCTGTCTTCACAGAAAAGTTCTTAAAGGGTCTGGGTTCATTAAAGGAGATTGACTTGTCTGGGAACCCTTTCTCATGCACGTGCGATGTGGAGTGGTTATTTGATTGGTTAAAAAAAAATAGTACCGTAGCATTCGTTAATTGGAAAGAATACGAGTGTTACTACCCGCGGCATTCACGTGGCGTCAACTTTGAACATTTCAACCCGGAGGTTCTCAAGTGCGATGAGGGTGCTGACCACACGCAGCTGGGACTGTCCCTGGGGATTTCTCTCACCCTGGCCGTACTGGTCATCGTGCTGGCCGCTGTGCTCTATTACCACTGCCGCTGGCGCGTCAAGTATGGCTGGTTTGTGCTGTGTGGCAAAAAGGGTGAGCAAGTGGAACAGAAAGTCGAGGACGAGTACTTCAAGTATGAGGCTTTCCTGTCGTACTGTAGCAACGACCGCTGGTGGGTCATCGACGAGCTACTCCCCAAGGTCGAGAATTGTCCCCCGCCCACTTACAAGATGTGCCTTGACATTCGCGACTTTGAGGACGGACCGAAGGATCAGAACAACATCATCGCTGCGATGGACGAGAGTCGGAAGACGATGTTTGTCATCTCTAGTAGCTTCCTGCGGAGCAAGCGCTGCCTGTGGGAGCTGGAGATGTCCAAGAACAAACGCTACGGGAAGAACAAGGACGACCTGATCTTTGTTCTCCTGGAGAACGTCCCGCAGACGAAGATGCCCAAGTCGCTGCAGAAGGTGATGATGGGAAGGAAGTACCTGCGCTGGCCGGAGGACCCCCGGCAGAGGGACGCCTTCTGGCAGTGCCTGCGCGAGTCCTTCAAGACCAACATCTTCAAACGGCAGGGCAACAGGATCGAGATGCAGCAGATATAGACTTTATCTATGCCATCTAACAGACACAACATGTCATGGCACTGGCACTTTGGGTATAGGCAGAAACTTGGAAGATAATAACTATTTTATAAGTAACATTCAGTTATTCAAGGCTACTAACTTTTAATATGAACATGTACTGCCAACCTAGCAGCCCAAACAGCATAGACATCAATTTGAACTTAAATGCAGGAATTTTATTATTTGATTTGATCTCCTTTAAGTTTAAGAAAAGAGAAAATGACGTTCTGCTCCTTAAAAGCCGATCCCTTTCTAATGAGTAATTGAAATTCCACCAAAACAGAGAAGTGTAAGGTTCTCAGGGTATGAAATCATGATATAGTTGACAACAGCACTTGTAACAAACCTTGGCAGGCGGGTCAGACAAAATAACACTGTCAGCATGTGTAGATTTCAGGGAAAAACAGTAGTTAACAACATGGGTAAGGGACTGGTAAATTTGTAGGAACAGATAAAAAATTGTATCTTGCTACTTAATAGAACAACACTACTAGTGCTCTAAAGCTTAATGCATACAATATTATACCAAATATTTCCATACCTTGTGTAAGGTATACCAAGCTTACTTTCAAAACACTACTCCTGGCTTGTCCCTTATGCTATCAGTTGGCACATGTTGAAATATGGGATGCCAAGAGAAAGAGGAAGGAAATACAGAATCATGACTGCCTCTTTTACTGTAAATCCTGATATCTTTTAGCTTACTCATAAACTGAATATTCAAGCACCTGTTGACCATAATGTTAAAACCACTTGTTACTTATACATGTCTGTAAATGATGTCTTGTGTACAGAATTTTGAAAAAAAATGCTACAATAGCTTAGTGGGAAGGATGATTGCTTTTCATGTGGTAGATAGTGGGTTCCTTGGCTCAGTCATACTGAAGACAAATATATATACATGTAATCCAAATGACTTCATGTAATCACTTAAAATGACATCAATGGAAGAAACTGACAGCACAGGAAGTTTTATGTTTATATGTTTATATATCTTATGCATTCAAACTGTATATCTATTCAACTATTGTAACAGCATATGTAATCTATACCGTTTTACCATGACATAATATCAAGATCAACATAGGTACTTATTATGTAGAGGGACACTTTAAGTTTTGATGGACTCTCTAGTCTTGAAATCATAGATTGATTAAGGCTTGCATTTATAGTTCTTTTGTATTCATTCATCTACAATTGTTATCAATATAGATTAAATATTTGGATTTTCAACATGATTGAAGATATACAGTGCTGAGTTTGCTGTAGAAAATAACTGTCAGCATACAACAACAAAAATAAATTTGACACTGCAGCAAATGCTGGTATACTATGTGTGGCACTATTATCATTGAGTCTGCATGGGAGAATCAATATTTACTGGAATGATGAGGCTTTAGATCATTTGGTTTGAGATAACAGCTAGTCTATTACACTACCTGCAGTACCAGCACAGTGCAAAAGGAGGTGTTGCTCACCGGTGTGTCTATAAGGTTGAGGAGGTAGGTTTTCCCCTGGTACTGGTGGAACATGGAAGCTGTCTGTGCCTTCACAGTGATGCCTCGTTCTCTCTCCACCTGCAGTTTGTCTAACACTTGTTTGTTTGAGGCCTCCTGGGAGATGGTTCCTGCGATCAAGGCACGAGCGTGTCAGTTTGGTTGAAAATATGCAGAAATGTAACAATTATGACAGTACAAACAGAAAGACACTCCTGGTCCTGGGCTGGGGTTCGAACCCACGACCAAACCCGGGCACCAGTCCACATGCCGACGCTCTAACGATTTGGCTAAAAGGTCTAGACCCATCGGCTGATTCAGTTGGTAGTGCCTATAAATCCCCCACTGTTACTGAAATTATAAAAAAGAAAATGTCATAATTTGTGGCATCACCAACTCCAAACTTAATGTTTTGAAGTGCAGGCTCTGGCCTAACTTTTTGATTCAGGAGCACTAGTGTTCCCAACCAAAAAAAAGTTACAACACCAACCAAATCATGACTTACTAAATGTATGGTGAACACTCACTTGGCCCAAGGATGTTCTATAGGTTTATAGTATTGGGATATCGGATGAGCCATCCTCCATAGTTGCCACCAGCTCCCTATTACCACTGGCTTCTATGGCAGGCCAGTGGGATATGCATTAATAAAAACTTACCTGTGAGCTCCAGTAGTCTGTCTGCCAGTGTGCTCTTGCCATGGTCCACGTGTGCGATGATACTGAAGTTCCGGATATTCTCCACTGGAAACTGTGACATGTCAATCTGCAGGAGGGTACTTTTTTTAGTAGAATTGTTGAAGAACTAACTTTTTACGCAACTTTTACAACTGGTATTTGAATACCATGACTAGTCTATGAGTAATAAATAGGAATAACTAACAGGAAATGTCTTCATTCTCTTTCTCCAAGCAGATGTTGGGTGTGGAAATGCTACTTGGGTCTGTATCCATGTCTGTGATGAAATTCATTATAGAGACTATACTTGTAAGACAAGACAAGATGTAACTGTTACATGAATTGGTCTGTTTCAAAAAGAACTGTGGAGAGGGGCGCGAATGAGGCTGGATTGGAGGGGGGGTAGGACCATCTACTAGACAAGGAAGTTACTAGGGAGGGTTTGAGCAAATCAAGGACATTATGCACTGAGCAAATCTAGATTCATCATTGGTATCATGGTAGGATCAAATGCTGATTTCTTACCTCTTCCCCCCAATCAACATTTTAATAGCCCATTTACGTTACAGCCATTTACAATCTTTTTTATCTATTATCATAATTCTATAAACACCAACCTGTCCATCTGATGACTTTGAGCTAGCATGTCGTCTGCTAGCAAATGGCGCCAAATATCCCACATTGTGGGTGATAATTCGGATCCTTTGACACAAGGGGCACAAAAACCTTTTCCACATCATTGTAATCCCCTAGATATGGAGAATAGGGCCCCCAAAACACGCAGGAAATCAAGAAATCAACATTGTGAGGGACTTTTTCCTCGTGTACGCTGCCATCTTGGAATGGTACAATATAGTCCCGGGGATGTTGAAAAAGTATAATCAAATATTATCAAGATGTTAAGATTAAAATTTGTCAGTATACACACAAAGTTAAGAAATAATAATATTATAGATAATAATATTATTTTGCTGACGAGAATTACAAGAGATGTTGAGTTCACAAAAGACCAAAAAACGAATCACAGCCCCTACTAAAACAATGCGCTCGTCCAAAGTGATAACAAGTTAACTCAAAAGTTCACTCACTTAATAATTAACTTTAGATAACTGATTGTCCCTTTAACGTGAATTTTGTATGAACCTATATACTACCATTATTATAAAATTACATTTTCCATATTGCAATGACCCTATCTTTTCCTACCTTTCGGTTTTTAAATGGTAAGAAACAAAACTGTTCTTCACACTTAGGTGCGGTTGTCAGTGAAAAACAGAGGAAGGAGGAAGGGGTGGGAACGTTGACAGTAGTTGTACCAGTAACTTTGGTAAGATATTGTCTCTATTGTGAAGTTTTCTTTTCATCATTTAGATGTTACTATATCTGCACTGACCTGTAAGATATTCATAACATAAGAGGTGTACTGAAATGTCGTCTAAATTAAGTTTTAGGGGGTCAGTAAACTGTCGGTCAGGTTGGACCTGTCCCGAAGTGGGGAGGGGGGCGTGATGACGTGTAGAATGAAATGTTGTCAGTTTGTCTCTCTATCGATGTTGTGAAATTAGAGATGACATCACGAGGCATTCGAAACCACCGAAGGTTGTTTCTTTGATTGAGTAAGTTAGCGTGAAGGTACCTATTGTGCTTTGTGTATACCAATCCAAGCTTGGAGTCATATCTGCAAATTATGAGAGGTAAAATTATGGCTATGACTGGCTATGTAACACTAGCATATCCACTACCATGTGCAGTGGGCTAAATATATTCTTTATCATGGTCCTTACATTTCAGTCGTACTTGACGTTGTAATGTAACAGTTTACATCTCATTTACATATCATATAAAGTGTTAAAAGTACATTAAGACACTAGCCTGGGTTCCATCCTGGTTAGTTTACATCCGCTCCTACAGTCGCTACGGTTGGTGGTAGCGACTGTAGGAGCGGACGTAAACTAACCAGGATGGAACCCAGGCTATTAAGACACAGACCATCTGAGAAGTTGTTTTGAATATTTGTGAAATTTTGTTGTTGTGTGTGTACAGTTTTTCCTTGTCATCTTTGTCTAGCCTGGTTACCAAACCTATTATAGCTCCCGAGTCCTACATCCTCTCCTCATAGGAAATAGGATGTAGGACTCGGGATCTATAATAGGTTTGGTAACCAGGCTAATCTTTGTCATCCTTTCAGTCAACTTTCATGTGCAATCATTTTTTAACTGTTTTAATTTTTTAGTACAAGCTTAGGCTTAATTTTTGTATGTGTTACCACAACTTTCCTAAACAGTCCCTTCTTCTTCTGTATAAGCCGGTATAACCGCCCTTCGGCGTAACACACCAGCTTGCGTGTCCTAAGTATGTGTACAATGTACATTCATAGCTGCATAACATAAGACAGCATTAGTACAACCCACACTAACACATAACACTTCACATGTACCCGTTACATCAGCCTTGATGTTACCCAGCAGACTGTCCCCACCAGCCAGTCCGACCGGTACTTCCACAAACCCCATGCTGGAGGCACGGCACACCGCGGGCGCCAAGCGCTACAAGTACCTGCGCCGCATCCTCAAGTTCCGACAGATGGACTTTGAGTTTGCACTCTGGCAGATGCTCTACTTGTGTGTGGCACCACAGAGAGTGTGAGTCATGGTTCCTAATGTCAGTAAGATTGTCAAAGTTGTACTAGTGTAATAAGGAGGTTCTCAGTTTATATACAAACAACCAGTTTTCACATCTGACATTTTGATGACCATTGTACATATAGAATTTGTGCTATTGTTCATTCCTCCTAAACTTATGTGTAATTCATCATTATCTTACAGATACAGAAATTTCCACTACAGAAAACGTGAGTATTGATACAATTTATATGTATGTTGGATAAATTAACTTGTAGCTGTACATAGCACTCAAAATGTACAAAATGTGTAAAGCTAAAACTGTTAAACTACTACATATACAATTATACATATAAGTTACACGACTGAAAGCTAACTACATAATTGTTTGTCAGATTCAGCTGTCAAAGTCCTACAACACAAGGAAACTACATGCAGGCACATTGAAAAACTCAGTGACCACTTTAAACAATATCAGGATAACTGTCTTTCTTTGTTTCAGAAACAAAAGACCAGTGGGCTCGAGATGACCCAGCCTTCCTTGTGTTGCTCAGCTTCTGGCTGTGTGGTAAGTATGATAACAGAACAGGGACTCAGAAACCTGCTCATGTGGTGTAACTGGTCTTCATAAACAAGGATACAGGGTTTCTTGTAGATGTTCAGTTATAACAATGGATAATCATTATAGTACTAGTACATGTAGATACATTTTGATTGTTACATCAACATCCAATCTTAATGTTTGGATAAGTAAGTTGTTTATTTTATGGCACATATTGATTAATGTTTTAAACTGAATTGATATCTTGTTTTTATGACAATTAAATTAAACCTTTCTCCTGTTCTCTTGCAGCATCTTCCCTTGGTTTTGCCATTGTGTTGCAGTTGAGTGTGATGGGGATGATTAAACTACTCCTGTGGGTTATCTTTGTGGACTGTATTGGAGTTGGGCTCATGGTAGCCACCCTACTGTGGTATGGATACAACTTCTGTCTTTATACAGTTAAAAGGTTACCCAAAAAACCTTGATCAATATAATCAAAGTTGAATTTAATGCAGATGTCTTTTTGAATTCAATACATGTACATGTACTTGGTTTAAGTTATGAGTTCATGTTCAGTTAAAGTCACTGTTCACCATTCATTAATTTTTCAATTTCTTAAAAACATTTTTAAAAATCGTAATGCAGATTACATTTCTGTGTCACAGGTTTGTTGCCAACAAGTACCTACAGACCCAGAAGTCAGACCAGGAAGTGGAGTGGGGCTATGCCTTTGATGTCCACCTGAATGCCTTCTTCCCACTGCTGATCATTCTACATGTCATACAGCTCTTCTTCATACACCGTGAGTTGTACCTGAGAGCCAGAATTATACTAGGCATGTAGTTAGTAAATATTTAGAGCCTCGAAGGTGTTGCGTCTGCATGGTAGTGGTTTGTGCACACACTGCTACTTGCCACATCTGTAAAAGACACAACTGGAAAAGAGTGGTAACCGTATCATCCTTAGCTTTCAGATGGAGTTGTAAAGCAGGCAGCCCCGTGCATGAGGGAGCTTATGGTGTCGAACCTCTGCACTTAAAAAACCCAACACACTTGCTGAGAATAAAAGCCACTGCGAAGCTTCATTGCACTCGTAGCTACTTGAAAATGTTTCACGCTTCACCTTCATTGACTATGACAGTAAGATTTTTTAAAACTATTTAAAAACATGTATGAAGGAAACAGCTGCTGTTTTGTACCAGCTTCATGTTTTGCCGGTACTTACTAGTCCGTCCCTGTCCCCTCCACAGCTCTGATTGACAAGGAGTGGTTCATGTCTCGGCTGTTTGGGAACACCCTGTGGCTGATTGCCCTGGGGTACTACCTGTACATCACATTCCTGGGATACAGCTGTGAGTAGGACTTCCTCTGTGTGTCTTGCCATTGTGTTACATTTGTATGTATGTATAGGAGTCTGTAAAGTAGTAGTAGTAGTACTGATTTTTTAAATTTTTAAATTACTTTAACTACTGTGACTTACACAAATGCAGGCATCTTATACTATTTGTGTTGATAGTTTGACCGTTTGTTGTCTCCCCTTGCAGCCCTGCCATTCCTGCGGCACACAGTAGTCCTGCTGTACCCTGCCATGCTCATTGTCCTCACGTTTTACATAGTCTCCCTACCAGTGGGCTGGAACTTCACCCAGGGTCTCATGTGGTTCTACAGATATAGAGTCGGGCATTATGTATAGTCTCTAATCTTCTAAAGTTCATCTGTATTGGTAAAAGTCATTATGAAGCAAGATTAGACTGTCATTTCCAACACAAGAAATTTGACTTACAGTCTTACAAATATTTTTGACTGTACAACTCCTGTCTTTGTTAAGGAATGAGCAATCCACCGCTTCTGGGACTTTGCATAAGCGGTGGATTGCTCATTCCTTGACACAGACTGGAGCTTTACAGTAAAAAATTTGGGTAAGTTCAATCTCTTGTGTTTGAAAATAAAGTATAGTCTCTAGGTTAGGATGTACATTGTGTATTCCAACAGAGCGAACAGTTCTGTGTTTTCCTTCATTTGTATGTATGAATATATAAATTCCTAGGGTTAGAGTGAGAGAGAAGTGTAAAATGACTGTCAATAATATATGGTTGGATTTGTATTGTACAACATGTACATGTATTCTTGTCTCCTACTAGCAATCTTTAATTAGATGTCAGCAACAAGAAATTTAGACTTGCCTTGTATTGCCTTGCAGTATGTTCCATATTTGAGATGATTCATCTTCTATATGATGGTTGATTTTGATTTGTTGGCTTTTTCATTGGTCGGGGTGCACTGAATACAATGTGCATGTCAACTAAAATTATGTTATAAATGTTTTCATTTGTTCAATTAAAAAAAAGGATGGTTTTTGTTAGGAAGAAGAGCTTATTTCAAATATTTACAATGAACCAAAAATGGTGTTATTTGGTTTTCAGTTATTTGTCAGGCACAACAAAGGGTAGGGATCCTAGCAAATATATCACAGAATTTGCAGATGGTTTTCTGACCAACTTCATGAAGTTTGTAGTGACAGATGTATTATATTGTTTATTATGATTCCTACCTGTAGCAGAAAAAAGGAGTTAGATAAAATGTGGTATAGTCTATAGGAAATTATTGTAAACTTGCTATTATATTTTCTGTTGATATTTTGCATTGTGCAATGTGCTGTATCCAATGTGTTTCACACAATGAAACACTAAGCCTGTAAAAATCATTGTAGATATTTTGTCTGTGTGCATAATCCTATCATATGCACTATGGCATCAGACAATGAGATTGTCACTTCTTGACACAGTAGTGTGTCTTGAAAAGCAGCGCTGATATGGGATTTTTTACATGGGCTAGGGTTCTTTACTGTGGCAGAGGGAGGTATGCCATGGAGGGAGTTCCACCCATGCTTCCTAACAGCATGGACAATACTTCCCTGAAAAACTGCAACTCTATTTAGCTGTTTGATCATAGAAACAAGAACTGTCCTGCTAGGAGTCTGCACAGGAGGCCATCTAGAAGACAGGCTATGCTTTCTTGTTGAAGGCAAATGACTCCTTCTCTGTTAGTTAGCTGAGGTACAATGATTATTAACCCTATACAAACTAGACATAGACTATAACTTTAGAATATTGTGTATATATATATATGAAGGGATTTCAATTGTGTGGGTAAACATTAATGATATCCATAAGTGCTACTTTTTTGTATTGAAATAAATGATACTGTACAGAGGAGTCCATCTTAATTTTTCATGCTCATTACTTTTTTAACTTGACAAAATGTTTTGAATTACTTCTGAAACTTCTCTGAGTACAATTATTGACATAGGCCAGTCTACATTCTGTAGCAATCATTGGCCACTTGTTAACACATTGACAGCAATTAATGACACCCATTTATGCATAATTATGCTTAATTTGGATGGATATGTCAACAGTTACCTGAGTTACTAGCACCTAGGAGCTAAAATGACATAATGATACATGATTATACTTAATTTGGATGGATATGTCAACAGTGTACCTGAGTTACTAGCACCTAGGAGCTAAAATGACATAATGATACATGATTATACTTAATTTGCATGGTTATATCTACCTTAATTACTATTACTTACTAACTAAAAAGGGTAAATGCAATTTACTGAGATACTCTTATTTGAAAACACTCGTGCAGTTCTGGCGAACGCTCTTGGGAAAACAACAGGATTCATCACAAAATCACAAGGGGCTACACTAGGCACCATTTTCTCGTTATTCCGTGGCACAGCTAACATGTGAGCGAGCACGTAGTCGTCGTTTCAAGTTCGTGATACTCCAACAAAGCACCCTCATTATAAACCGCTTTATAATAATAGTGGGGAGTCACGCCAAAGCCCACGCGCGCGCGTGCGGGGTTACTGTAGTTCACACTGTGTGAGGATGTTTTTCAGAGCTTTAATACAGGTTTCTCTACAAGCTGATTGGTCTCCACCAAACTAACGATGTGGGTTCAAAAAGTGTAAAATTTAGCCAAATAAGGAGAATACTAGTAATTGGCCAAGGGAGTTTGCCCACTGTAGAGTTCATTTGCCCACGCAGCCCGGAGGGGGGAAATAAAATACCCTTCCCACGGACCATAGAGGAAAAAAAAGAGACTTTTACCTCCATGCACGGACTGAACCACCTGGCCAATTTATTCTTCCTTTTTCCTTGTGGAGGCTGGTGTCTAGTCAAGAACGCTGCTATTTCAATTCTTCGGATACAGAAATAAATATATGAAAGATTATCTCCAAGCAGGTGTTGAAGAAGTCTTTCTTTTTGCGGCCTTTATCTGTAAGTTATGGAAACGTCACAAAACAAAAAACAAACAAAAAAACAAAAAAACAAACAGAACCACCGAACGGTCGCGTTGACACTAACGACGACCAAAGGCACATTCGGCAACACTGCGACACTGTGACCTCCGCTTGAAATTCGGTTAAATTATAATACTAGTAATCATTGCTAGTACTGAGTACTTGATTATTTTGTCAGGCACACATGATTTGGCAACATAAAAGTAGAAACCAGGCACATTATATGTATATTAAAGTGAAATGAAATTAACTGTTATATCAGTATTTTAAAAAATGTCCTTCGGTAGAAATTCACCAAACGGCACAATACAGAAAGCCAGAGGACTTTGATTCACACAAAAAAAGCTTTACATTGATGGATTGATATACCATACACGACTTTTGATATGGGACTTATTATATAATTATAAGCGAACCTAATTGTTATGTGATGTTTTATATTATGAAGGAACCGCCTCGACATTCATTGTCGATTTTGATCAGTTGGGGTTTCTTGTGTTCTGAGTGTTCACAGAAGTACATTTGTGGGCAGGTCATTTGTGAATATGGGCCGGTTGATGGAGAAGTTTTAATATTCCTTTTGATGGGCCATGTTCTGTAATGTTACGACGAAATGACAATCTTGGATAAACCAAGGAGGTAAAAATCACATGTGATTTTTTTTACCTCCATGGATAAACCCAGGATAAACCCGTATTCCCTGCGTATATTTATCCCCCCGCAGTTCAAATTGTTTAGTCTAAAAAAATATCACGAATTCGAAGCGCGCAACACAAAAAACGTGCGTCATCAGTCACGTGACCACATATCCCAATCGGAAGGGAAGGACACGGCAGCCATTGTGGTTGTTAGTGTCGTAGGGAAGAAGTCACGGCACCGAAATCTGGACACTTTCTAGCCGAAACGTGGACATTTTTGTGATGTTTTAACCGTCCCGAGAGACTTAGAAACTTTCTGGACACCAGGAACTATCTTACAGTCGGTGTGAAGATGGTTGTAGCGGAGGAAAGGACGTTTGTGTACGGGTTGGTGGTGCTGTTGTGTGTTATGTTATGGTTCGGCTCGGCGCAGTGCATGAGGGTCGGGGAGGACGCCGCTACCGAGTACACCAAAGCCTTCGTTAACGTGACCTACAGGGACCCCTCCACCAACAAAATCCACTCGGAGAAGGACGAGGGCGGCGTGTACGGGAACAACAGCCCGACCATCGAGGCGCGCGGCATCGTGGTGAACGTGGGGAACGCCTGCCAGCCGCTGCGCCACATCACACCGCCCAAGACCCAGTGGATCGCCCTGGTCGTCCGCGGGATCTGCGACTTCAAGGTCAAGATCAACTACGCCAAGAACCTGAACGCCACCGCCGTGGTCGTCTACAACAACCAGCCGTCTCTGCCTGAAACCATGGATCATAAGGGTGAGAAAAACAACACAATATGGTCTGCACCAAAATTACGTACGGGAGCCATGATAATATTTGTTTGTTGTGACGGAGAAGGAAGGGGGTGGGGGGTGAAGTGGTGGTAAACATAAATATTTGTTGTCAACGTCGATTAGAAGTTTAGACATCCAGGTAAATTATGAGATACACAAGAAAACAGTTATAACAGAAAAAGTAGTAGATGCTACTTGAAACATCTCACAGTTTTCAAATATATCCAGTTGCTAGAGTAACTGTTTTCTTGAAAGTGTTTTGTTGTCAAATCAACAGGAAGTCTTGTAGACAATTGAACAATTAAAATTTCAAAGAGCTGCAATAAACAGGATGGGAAATGGTGAAGGTAATAAACAGGAAATGTTCAGACCTTCATCAGCCCCCCTCCCCACCCTGACCTTTGCATTGGGTGTGTGACATGTACTAAACGCCTGTGGTGACAAGAGAGTCCTGAGTCATGTCAACATAGCAGAACATGGTTTTTGCCCTATGGGGATATTTCTATTGTAAAGGAAAGGTTCAACCCAAGATGTGGCAGAAATTATGGTAGGGTTCACTACAGAAATACAAAAAAATAAATATATTTGATTTTGTTAGGCACAGCATTAAAAAAATTCAAAATTCTGTGTCCGAAAGTCAGTTGCAAAATTTGGTGCATTTATACCTGAACTGGAAAATCGTCACATTCCAAATCATGCAGTCTCAAAGCCTACATACTAGTACATGTAGTTGTATACCACAGCACAATTTATACCCGGGTAACGCTCACATGAGACCCAGAATTTTGTCCACACTTTCTATGCATACCCTCGTCGACAAAATTCTGGGACAAAATTCTGAGTCTCATGTGAGCATTACCCGGGTATAAATTGTGCTGTGGTATACGGGTCATGAGGGTTGCCCATTAATACTGTGTTCTGCTAGCTCAACACTGTAAGAAACTACAGGGATGTCACACATGGGGAACCAGCACTAAAGATGCTAACTAGCCATGGTGGTAAAAAATGAAATTAACAAAAGTTAATGTCGAGTGGTAGATGGACCTCAATTACCTGCGGTAAATGGACCAAATAAAGTAAGATTTTCAAAAAAAAAATTAGTAGTGCAGATGCAAGATGGTGGTTTCCAAAACGAGTTGTCCAAAACATATGGTAAGTGCTGCCCCAAATAAGGTGTCAGATAGTTCCCTGATCAAACAGGCCTCTCTATTTTCCAATTGAAACAGTTGTTCCTACTGAATCTCTCTTGACAGTCCTGTTGTTACAGAAATGTTAGGTCTAGGAACTTGTTTTGGTTTCATCTTCTACCAAGTACAATGTGTATTGGATGTGTATTGTACATGATCTTCACACCTACACTGGGGAGTGCAAAAAACACGCTGAAAAAAGGTGAAAATTTCCAACACATCCATTGTACTACAGTAGGTATTATACATATTCATATGGGCGATCATGGTCTAAGTCTTTGGCCGACTTTAGACTGACGACGGTATACGATCGCACGACAATCGTTGTGGGCGACGGCTGGCTTTAGACACATGACCAGAAAGTGTGGCGGACACCCGCAGCGCAGGATGGCACGCCGCGCGCCAATTCAAAAATGGCGAGAGAACCCCTTTTTCGGCATGCTGCAGCAGATTGTTTTTATTCTGC